GGGGTGGGTGGGGGGCTGGTATACTTCATTCATCTTTTCCTAGTGCACTAGCATCGTAGCACATGCAGCATATTCCTTTTCTTGATCAATCACAATGAAGCATATTCTCTGTACATAACGTTGCGCATGCTTTCATAGCGGACCAAGTTCTCATCTTAAAGGTAAAAAGGTTAGCCCAAGTGGTGATTGATTTTTCACTCTCTCTCAGAAAAGATGAACTCCTTTTAGGTAAAAAAAAAAAAAGTCAGCAGGTTGATAGTCCTGCACTAGCGCATCATTTTTCTCGTATCAGAATTAATTTGCTTATCGTCGACTATTCCACTAGGCATCTTTCTTTAATTGTAATAGCCAGAAAGAGAGAACACAACTTCTTAACCACAGTAATTTTCATCGACATCATAATATCTCCGCTTGCAGTGACATGGGACAACCTTTTGTTGGTCCTTTGGTTTACCCGCCTTGTCCAAAAAATCTGACACCCATTGTAATGCGAGTAATTCAATGCAGAAAATATAGAACTTAAGTGCGTATTATCTGGCTCTCATCAAAAGACGAGACTTTGGTTGTGGGAGGCCAGTAATAAGTTGATGTGAGCTGGACACTAGAAATGAAATACAATATTCCAACAACATCCTCTCCAAATCCTCAAGCATGGAAAACGTATGGTTTTCTGGCTGATAGTAGTTCAGGTACTGAATCCTACATTTACAAAAAAAAATCTCAAGTACAGATTGACGTCGAGCCAATCACAGCCCGATTGCCTTATCAGCTGCTACCCTCTCTTCATTCATAACAACCTCAACCTTCGTAACGCAACAGAAGTAGAGAAAGATAATTCTCTTAAAAGTGTTGCCTGAAGGGGTTCCCGAGAGTACTGCACACGGTAGAGTCCACAGTCTTTAAATCCAAAAAATAAGGAAAAGGCAGTGATCAAATCCAGTTATTAAATAAAAAGTAGTAGTAATTATCTCCATAAGCTAACCTCCACAAAAATGTGAACAACTCAAAGCAATCTAGCTGTTGGTTATCAAAGAAGACACAGTGGCTTCACCATAGATTGTCCTTATCCAGTCTAGAACATCAGCACAATCCTCACGCCCAATGAAATGCCTTCACGGGCAGACAGATACTTCAGCCTAGGAGCAAGAGAAAAGCTATATTTTAATATATTCAAGTTCATACCTATTTCTAGTACGATAGGCCTTCAGCTCTGCTACTTGGCGGGGGTTTCTAATATCTTTCTTCATACGAAGCGACTCAGGCACCTGGAGATGGCCTTCCTGACTGCTGTATGAATCACATATGAAGCTTAGCACCTTTTCCTGGTAATGGCATTTTCAGATGTCAGCGGAAGAATATTGAGGAGCTTCATGCTATTTGGAGATGAGGCGTAACAAAAGGCAGGATTAAATAACTAAACTATTTTTCAGAGGGAAAAGAGGCATGACTGCCTCTGCACATAAAGGTGTACTAACTCCAATAAAAAGGGAGCCTGGAAGTTATCTCATACTAACTCTAATTCAAAGAATTCTTATTATGCTTAAAATTGTCACTTCCTATAATTTGTGCTCATGGCATGTTGCTTTAGGAGAAGAAAAGCCCTAAGGCAAGAAGAAGCGTCTACAACCAGAACAAGTCATTTTGAAACTTATACTCCCTCTATGATGAAATCAATTTGAAAGAAAATCTTCCACAATATGGTTATTATTGCTTTGAAAAGGATTCATTATTTTTCTGAACCTTTCAGAATCAGCCTTAACATTCACAATGACACAATACAGAAAATGCAACTACGGCATATACAAAGAGATGCATGCACACATCTGCATGCATGAATGTATGTATATGATAGTTGCAGTAAAAGGAATCATGAGCAACTATTAAAACCCAGGAAAAGCTCAGCTACTGCATCCAGACAACAGCTTGATAAAAGTTCTATTAACAAAGAAAAAGGCATAGAAATTCCTTAAGGAACAGAAATGACATACCAAAGGTTTAGAAGCATCTAGCCACTCATAAATCTGTTCATTGCGAAACCAAGTCATCTGCCTTTTTGCAAAATTTCTGCACAAGAATATAAGAATCAGCCAAAAAAATTTACAAAGTGCAAACAACTATATTCTAGACAATCCAATTAAATCAAGAAAACCAGTGAAAGCTCCCCAAGTCTATGAAAAGGACCAGACTGGAGTCAGAGTAGGCAGATTAAGGCAGCAATACCAAGAGTTCCTGACATTTGCACCCATAATCATAGTGCTCTTTTCTTATCTTGATAAGTGACAATAGTATCATGAAGTGCTAAGTGATCAAGAGACAAGAAAGTGAGGGTTAAGTAGAAAAGTTGTCTTCAACATTGCTGCGGGAGACATGCTTAAATTCTATCAATAATAGCTTGTGTAACTCTTGGCAGAAAAGTTGTCTTCAACACTGCTGCGGGAGACATGCTTAAATTCTATCAAGAATGGTTTGTGGAGCTCTCTGCTAGCCATGACAAATATTGTAGAATGACGACAACACGGAAGCATCCAGAAAGAAAGTGTGACACTAGAGAGAGAAGCATAAAACTACTACATCTAAATGCCAAGAAAGAAAGGTTGTCCTATTATGTGATATAATGTAGTCACAATAGAGTAAAATCACCTAGATGCTTTCTGGAATTCAGATAAAAACTCATAGAAGTCCCCAGCAGAATTCCAACTTCCATATTCTCTACATCGTAGAAGGTATTCCATTGCCTGAAAGATTTTAAACACACACATATTAGGAAACAAACTATTGGTTTTAGTTCAGTTATAGGGATGAAACTATACTTGTCGGTAACCAATTGCTCGAGTAGCAGAATTTGAGTTTGGCAAAAGACCCAAATCAAGAAGCCACCTTGCCTCAGATAGAATTCCATCTGTTCCTGCAGCATGCCACCATCATAACGAATTAACTATGACCAAGGTATTCCAATTGAAGTTGTTAAGGAACTAGAAAGGAAAGATTTTATTTGAAGCTAAGATTGGTATTTCATGTTGCTAGAGAAAAGCGCAAGAGATAACTATTATAAGAAGAATTAACCTCTATAGACGAAATAACCTCAGAATGTCACCAATACTTATTTGTTTTTGATAACTCATAGTTCACTATCCAACTTCCAAGTCGAAAATGTTTCTACAGTTCTTCAAAAGAATATTTTCTGATAGGTATATCCTCAGATGATAGATAATTAGCCCTAGGTATCATGATAACAACATAAATCTTAGGACAGAAAACAATGTTCCACACGAAGGCTTTTGAATAATGATAAGGAAAAGCAGTAATTCAAGCAGCATTTGCCATACTTCGAGATGATAATTTCTTTTAGATTAGTTCAAGAATTAGTATTGTGATTGAGCGTTCTAAGATCTCCAAAAAATGATTAAAGCAAGCAAATAAATCCCACAATTTCATTAATTTTTACCTAAAAGCATATCTTCGCACCGGAAATCAATTGATCTATAGAGATCCAGCCTATTGGTGGAAAGGAAATAACAAAGAAAATCATACTCCAAATCCTTTTTGTTACTCAGCTGCAATTTGTCAGCAGAATTCTTGACATCGGCAACATCTGCTACACCTGAATCAAGCTGTTCTCTGAAAGAATTATATGGTACTTCAAAGGCTGATGGAGGTGACCCACTAGACTGCAAGCCGAAAAGTATATTTAGCATTTTATCAAGAGATAAACTGAACAGGCTACGACAAAATGGACTGACAGTTGTGCACAATTCAATCCATCTCAACTACTTCAGAACCACAAAGAGCTCTTGCTAAACCAATAAAAGTTCTTGCTACAAGCATAGCAACAGTTGACAAGAAAAACATGGATTTTCCCTGCAAGCACATTAGTAAGTGATAAACCAGAACAAAGAAATCTCTAATTTCTACCATATCATGATCTAGCTTACAGAAAAGTTGTCTTGCTTGCATCATCCAAAAAATGCCAACGGTTGTGTGTCGGATCCTCCAAAAGTTGCATTTGTGGAGGATCGACACAGGTGCGGCAGCATTTTGGAGGATCCGAGCAACATAGCAGAAAAGGGGTCCAAATCAGAGGGATCACAGGTGAAAGTTACAGTTTTTCATAATTACCTTAATAACTTCGAGCCTGCGGCGCAAGCGATACCAATCATTTGCCGCTAAAGACTGGGCACCAGGATCACCAGCTTTAACCAACAACTGAACAGCAGCATCCCAGTCATAATCATTCTGTAAATTTGCAAGCTCAGAGTAGACTTCAGAGGTAATCTCTCGAGATGCTTTTGGAACATCTGGCTTCCCATAAATAAACCTTAAACATTGTACAGTGTATTATATGAGTTGGAAGATTATACCCGTTTAGATTAAATGACTCAGTTGTAGAGGCTATATGAAAACCGAATTCTTGCATATCCAATATCTGATTCTATCACATATACCAGGATGCATGTAAGCTTCATTTATAAGGATAACAAAGCCCATTGATAGATAGATAATGCAGCATAGCTTACTCACATACCCTAATTTTTTCTCTCTCATAGTCGATAGGTTTTATATAATGAAATTCCAAAATCTTTAGTTTGATATAAGTTGCAACCAAAAAGTTTAGCTTTAGTTTGAATACGTCCTCAATTTACCAAAAGCTTTCAAGTGTGAAATGTAATATTCTACACATACCATCGTAAATATAATCCAGTACCACCAGCAACTATAGGAACACGGCCCCTATCAAGTATATCTCTGGTAGTTTGCCTTGCATCCTCAAAAAATTGTCCAACGGAATAATCTGATGACATACCCAAAGGATATAAGAAAAATGTTTCTGCATTAGCATTAAAAGACGGAAAATTTAAGGACACATCAAATTGCGTATACCAACAGTTCAATAGATATGACCAAAGTTTGCAAGTGATATTTCACATGAAATTACAGTCCCGACCCACCCAACTGGGCTCAGGTTCCCTCGAAAAAAGACTCTTGATCAGAATGCGATTGATAATAACCACTCGGTGTGTTTGGTAAAAAAAAAGTGCTGAAAAGCCCTTTTCTGTTAAAGCCGAAACGACCCTAACATATTTTAAAAGATATATATTTAGAAGGAAAAGGACGAATATCAAAATGGAATGAAGTGAGAGTTAGGGTTCCGTTTTGGGAAGAGTATTTCGGTGATTATAAAAAAATATTTAAGGATGAAATTTGTCTTTCTACCTGCATTAGGTAGGGGTAAGGTCTGCCTACAGACTATCCTCCCAGACCCCAACTGTTGGGAACATACTAGATTTTTTGTTGTTGTTGTTGTAAATAAAAAGAAATCTTGATCAAATAAAAAGTGCTTAAGCTGAATAAACTCATGACTTTTGGTTGATTTTGGCTTATAAGTACTTTAATTGTTTACCAAACACGTAGAAAGCCAGTAAGTCATACATTCTATCACTTTCGAATTCTAATTTGTTCATCAAGTAAAAAACATTGTGGGCAGTTTCAGAGTTTCAATAAATCAAGGAACTTTGATGTGTTCACTACATTGATTTTAAGTTCTGGATGTTCCAAGAAATATAAGCAGAGGGTTTTATCGCTGATTACTGTTCACAGGTCACAAGCACCAAACTTACTCATCTAATCACGAATAATGACAATGTAGAGGGCGTGGATCATGAATCATTCAGTGAAGCGGTGTGCTGCACAGCTATTGAAATTCATGCAAAATGTTGTTTCAGACCATCCAATTCGGTCAGAAAATACCTTCGGATGGATGCAATATGTCAACCAGATGATGTACTACTTCCTGCAGACCATGACTCAAGAATGTCAAAAAGTATTGTGCATCCTCGGATGGAACAACAGACAGTGATAAAGCTCTTTAATAATCCAGTACACATTAACATAGGAACCTCAAAAGAACTAATTATGCAGAAACCGAGAATAGGCAAAACATATTTCATGTTAGAAGCATGACTCAAGAACTAATGCAATAAAAATACTAATGCAAAACATAATCTCAAATATGCTAAGGCAATACCTCTCTTTCATGGATGGAAGGCTTCGCTGAACCTACATCAAGCCCTCGATACACCTATAAAGCCAGAGAATATGTCAAGTTTCTAACTACAATACGTCTTAATTATAAATCAACTGACTTTCAAGCCTCAAGCAATACTAATGATTTCTACACATTGAAAAGCTTAAAATTTTATTTAATTTAACTTTAATTCACGTTTTAGTAATTAAATTTTATTCCTTATTTAATGAAAATTTCAGTAATTTCTTTGTCGCCACAATTTCAGTAATTTAACAAACACAATGGAAGGAAATCTATGAGGTTAATAATAAAGCGCCGAGGTCGAACAACACTATTCAAATTCGACAATTTGACAAGTTTATGATTCATTCAAGTTCAGGTGTTAATACTTCAATATAATTCCTCGTTTAACAGCAATTTTAGTTATTTAACTAATCAAAATGTAAGCAATTAATGAGGCTAATAATAAAGCGTTGAGTGAGTTAGATAACTAAGAACCTGGATAGAATCAGCGCTGATGATTTCACCATTAAGTCGCTTAGCGAGCTCTAATGCTAGCTTGCTTTTGCCGGCACCGGTGGGTCCCGAAATGACAATAACTTTCTGCTTCGTCGAGGAGGCAGAGCAGGATGTGAAGAAGCGGCGGCTGCAGCGGCGGAAGAAGAGCACGTTGGGAAGAAGGAGAGGCGTCTCCGCCGTGTATGGAAGCCGGAGATAGCTGCTAATTCGAACGCCGCCAGTTCCGACGGTGCTTATCATTTTCTCGACAGAGTATAAGCCTTTGGAAGCTCGACCTCTTTCCAGTTTTCTTAATTTTGTTGACACGTTGGCATTTCCAAATAATTTTGTTTTTGTTATGAAATACTGCTCAAATTAACAATATAGAACAAGGAAAAGAGATATATTCTTTTTTTTTTCAACTGTGTTATCTTTCCTACTACAAAGCCTTTTGACAAGTTTTAACTTACACTACTTGTATGAGGCTCCTTTTTGTCTCACAAATTTGTGGACCCCAATCTTACATTTCTGAATCCATAAAAATCGAGGTCCATAAAATTACGAGAAAAAAAATTTGTCTCATACAATTAGTGTCAGTTGTATAAGACACAAAATAAAATTTTCCCAAAACCTTTATATAGCCATAACAATTGAAGAATCATTATTGTAAAATACTTATGGAATGGTCACTATTAAGAGAATGGTCACAACATAAATATATCATTGAATATGTCATTAAGCATTTGAGAGGAAGATCATGGGGAGGTTAGGGAGATAATGGAGAAGAGTAGTGAGCACTAATCCTTTGGTAGTTATGGACATCCACCATAATTCAAGATTTTATAACACTCCTTAGTTCATAGATAATATGCCTCGTTAAAACCTTGTTAGGAAAAAAACCCTATGGCAAAAAAATCCTAGTGAATGAAAATGAGTATACATATCATGTAATACGCATTGTTTGCTGCCTTATTAAAAACCTTGCCAGGAAAACCTAGTGGGACAAACCGTAACTAAGGAAAAAAGAGTACATCGCGTATTTGTCTCCCCCTGATGAAAACATCACATTATCTTTCGGAAATGACGCATTCCAATCCCGTATACCAGCTTTTCAAATATTGAGATTGGTAATGATTCATTAAACAGATCCACCAAAGTATCAATCAAATAAATTTATAGAACATTTACATCAGCAATCTACCGAAGATCATGTCTCAAAAGAATTTGGTAAAATGTGCTTTATTTTGTCGCCTTCAGTATATTCTTCTTCCAATTGAGATAAGCAAGCTACATTGTCTTCAATATTATTGAAATATTTTTGTTCAAAGAAAAGCCACACATCTATTGTGTATTGAGGTACTTGTTTTATCAGTTGTTAATATCTTGGCATGACTTGAAATTTATAATTGACAGTCTTGTTAAAGTATAATATGGAAGTACACTCACATACAAATAGATTGTTTGAAGAACAAACTTCAGAAAATTCTTGCATTTGCATAATGAACAAAACTTTGACAATATTTGTTAAAATAAACAAATCTATATCAAGGATTCTTTTTGCAATATAATCCTAATAGTATTCCCATGTCTTCATATAGGAATAAAACTATATTTTTCTAGCATATTGTTACACTCATAGTTTTAGCAAGATACATTAGTGCACCAATTGCACTAGACACAAAAACAAATCATGTACGCCATGATCGCTCTAACTCACATAAGAATTTGCTGAAGCTTTATTTAATAAATTTCTTGGGAACCTTAATATGATTCGGAACAATTTAAATCCTTTAATGATTTTCATTATACGCATATCAAGTTTTTCATGTATTGCCAGATTAAAACCTGAAAATAATTTCATCCACCACATGAGAACATGTCTCCCTATAACTAATGCCTAAGATATTTACGAAAAATTTTGTGCCACAAGTCGTCTTTTATGTCTATCGACTTGATTTTTTTTCACACAAGAACACATTTATACCTCCACTGGCTTTATACTTTCAGATATTGGGACTATCCGTCAAACTTCACATTTTCAGGTGAAATCAATCTTGATTGCGTATTTTTCATTTGGCCAATCTTTTATCTGTCTAAATTTCATGACAGATTTGAGCTTAAAATCCTCGTCAATACTAATAATATTGAACGGTACATTATATTAACAACATCGTCGACGATCATTTTATATCGGTTCCATTGTTACCCAAATAAGACATAACTTATTGAGATCTATTTATCTCATTATTTTCAGGTACCCGAGCCTCTCTCATGAGGTCTTATGACGTGTTATGTCGTGGTGCTCTTTTAGAGCACTTGCATCTTTATTATGACCATCTTGATCATTTGTTCATCTCCTTCTTCAAGGAGTTTTATCTTTGGAACTGATTAGTTTATTATGCTTCATGCATGCCACAAACTCTGTTCATCATAAACTTTATTCTATTTGGAGCATTAGCAGTTGAAATATGACATTTAGCTTTGGGTCAGCAAATGCGTCTGGCAATAATTTGCAAATGAATTATCACTTGAACTTCAAGTTCATATTTTCTTGTACGAGGATCTATATGTATTCATAATAATTCATTCCACATATCACTTTTTCAGTTGCCCATTTTCTCTCTCTAATGTTGGAATCACCAACATATATCCCGGCTTTCTTTGGACACTCATCTTTGTGCATTGTGGTAAACAATTAAATCATATAGCACATTCATATTTCTAGATGGAAATTATTTGGTTCCTGACCCTGAACCAATTGTGATAGGGAAAGCATATCATTTACTTGGCTAGATGCAAGTGTTGTTGTATATTAAATAATACATCACATACCAAATTTTGTTTTGGGAGTTTTATTCTCATAACCAATGGCTTAGCTATAATTGGAGGCATACAATTTCTGCTAAACCAACTTGGATTTAAACTAGCGTTATCAAGATAAATCATCATAATTTATATTCTGGAACCATGCTCTAATAATTTGAGCAAGCAACCTTGCAAAAGCCAAACTGCAAGTTGGTAACAAATGTACATGTGACCATATAATAGATGCATCTATTAAAATCATATAATAGTAAATAGTCTACATGGCACGTGACTTGGACCATATATTTATCACCTTTTATTCGTTCCAGATATTAGGGGATTCAATCCCAACCTTAACTGGTATATCATGAGAATAAGCAGCACGGGAGAATTCTTGAAGAATCATTTATTTCTTCAATATATGCCAATGTAATTCTCAATTAATTTTTCGCATCATAATTGAACCGAGATGGCCAACTGATATTTGTTTCAGTAAACCTCTAGTTTATTTGTAGTACGTGATTTAATCATCATGCTTATACTTGTGTAGTATAAATAAAAGAAAAGTGGGGTAGTCTTTCATATTTTCTCGGTATGATTATAGTAATTTGAAGATATTTAATCTTCCTTTCATTAATAGTCTCAATATGTCAACCACTTTGGTTAATATATTTGAAACTCAAAAAGTTTCTTTTTAGACTTACTACAATATTAATGTCATGAACAATTGCACGTATCTGCGTAGTAATAAATTAGCTCTTCCAGAGCTCTTAATTAATTTTATACTATAAGATCTTTTGTCACACTGTCCATATGGTGAATATCTCCTCCACGGAGAAAATCATATCATAATAATTGTCATGGTCAAAATCATTATAAGCAAAATCATTTATTGCTTTTATTTTGCCTTTAGTAACTTTTTATAAGACATGGAAAAATATTTTCGGCGTACCACATGTACGCGACCAATGACATATTCATATAACCATACAGTAATGTTCATTATCTTTCTTTCTCTCAAACCTCCCGTAGAGGTGAGTTATAGTATTTATTCAGCCATGCATAAATATTGTGATGACCCAAAAGGTCATCTCTTATTTTAACAGTCAAATCTATATTTCGAAATCATAAAATCCTCCTTTTGTCTCACCTCGATTTGTGTGCATAATCCGGGCGTATATCCGAAAAGCCTTTATGTGAAAATTTGAGGAAAATGCTAATTTTGTCTTTAAAATTAAATTTAAATTGTCTTTGGTCAATATTTTGGGTAAACGGACCCAGATCCGTAATTTAACGGTCCCGTAGAAAATTATGGTACTTGATCGTATACCCGGAATTGAATTCCGAGGTCCCTAACCCGAGAAATGATTTTTTGAAGAAAATTGTTTAACTAAAAAATATAAAGAGTTTAGAAATTGAGCAATGTTTGAATTTGATGGTATTGGGTCCGTATTTTAGTTCCGGAGCTGTACCGGTCAAATATGGTATTTAAGTTATGTTTGTAAAATTTGGTAAGAAACGGAGAGTATATGACATAATTCGGACCCTCAGTTGTGAAAATAGAAACTTTAAGAGTTCTTGAGATTTTCATTGATTTTGATGTTAAATTCGTTGTTTAAGATGTTTTTGGGTGATTTGATCGCACGAGCAAGTCCGTATGATATTTTTAGACTTGTGCGCATGTTTGGATTGGAGCTCCAAGGGCTCGGGTGAGTTTTGGATAGGGTACGGGGGTGTTTTAGGCTTGAAATTTCTGGTGTTTTGAACTTCTACTGTCATCTGGTTTGTCCTTCTTCGCGTTCGCGAAGGAACTCTCGCAAACACGAAGAGTAAGTTAGTCTGAGAAAAATTTCCTTCTACGCGAATGCGAGGCACAGGTCGCGAACGCGGAGTGTTGGGGGCATTAAGCTATCACGAACGTGATGACCATTTTGGCAGGACCTGGGGGAGGGGGAAATACTCTACGCGAATGCGGCGAATGGCTCACGAATGCGAAGGTCAGGGGGTAAACCTTCGCGAACGCGTACAATATCTCGCGAACGTGAAGGCTCTTCTAGCCAATGCTTCGCGAAAGCGACAGGCTTCTAGCGAACGCGAAGAAGACCAGTCCAGCGAATTTAAAACAGAACCTAAGTCGGGATTATACCAAAATTTCATATCTTCTTCCTTAGAAACCGACCTTGGGCTATTTTTGAAGAGAGATTTCATCACCAAATCATAGGTTTGTGTTCTTAAACTCATTTTTTCCATTTTCCATCAACACCCATTAGATTTCTAGGCTTAAATTTTGTTCTTTAAGGGTAGAAATTAGGAATTTTAGGAGAATTGGAGATTTTGCAAATTTGGAAATTTAGACCTCGATTTGAGGTCGGATTCTGGAACTAATTATATATTCGGGATCGTTGGTGAATGGTTAATCAGGTTTTGGTCCGAACCTCGAGTTTTGATCAAGCGGGCCCGGGGTCGATTTTTGACTTTTGGGGGAAAATGATAGAAAACCTATA